TTTAGGGTTTAGGGGTTTATAATTTAGGGGTTTAGGGTTTAGGGTTGATTTAAGTCGGCATAATAAGGAAAACCCTTATATTTTTGCTACAGATCCCTATTCTGGTCGCGTAAATTCAAAATTTGTTAACAAGCACCCAGGAACATGGTGCAAACAGCAATGATTCCATCACCAAGAGCAAGAGAGAGCTGCTATTCCCCAAGAAGATGTCCTTATTGTCCATAGCCGCCCACTTTCGCAGTAACGAGACACTCAAAGTGCTCCTAGCTGCAAGGGCAGATGTGAATGCCCGCGACAGCTTCAAGACGACTGCATTGCATTGGGTTTGTACGTCAGACAACTCTGATGGTCTGCAACTCCTCGCTGACGCAAACGGCGATTTGCAACAGCAGGATGGTCTGGGATTTGACATCTTCAAGACAGCCTGCGCTAATGGTTCCTACCAAATTCTCACCAAGATGCTCGCAAAGCCTCATGGCTTCAGCCTTCGCAGCTGCTTACACTTGGCGCTCCTGATTGGCGGAGGATCGCGGGATGCTATCTCCCTTCTCATCTCAGCTAAAGCAGATGTGAACGAGACTTTGGACTTGACATCATCAAGGCTCCTGAAGTTCGCACTGACAGTGTATCTTAGAGGCTGAGCTTGCAACCTTTAACCTTTTATGGGGCTTTTAATTATGATCCTCCTCTAACTCAACATGTTAACTTAACCCTAAACCCTAGACCCTATACACCCTAGACCCTAAACCCTAAACCCTAGACCCTGACCCTAGACCCTAAACCCTTTTTTGTTGGCTCGGGTACTCACTCGGCTCCTAAGGTATGGTGTCCAGCATAGGATTCGACCTTCGAGGCTGACGATGATGGCTTACCACCACGGCGGATCCTCGGCTGCGATTGATATCTTTTGGGGTTTAGTGGTTTGGGGTTTAGGGTTTAAGGTTTAGGGTTGAGGGGTTTAGGATTTGGGGTTTAGGGGTTTATGGTTGAGGGGTTTAGGAGTTTAGGGTTTAGGGCCCAAGAACGGGACTGCGCCGGGTATCGACGAGCTTTGCAACACGGTGCCTTGCCCTCCCAGAGATGTCGTCTACTACCACTACTACTACTACTACTACTACTACTACCACTACCACTACTACTACCACTACCACTACTACGACTACTGCTGCTACTACTACTACTACTACTGCTACTACTACCACTACTACTCCAGGTACCAGCACGTTCACGTCCAGTTCCGCTTCCGCTTCGACTTTTGCTACCACCA